ACAAATAACTCACAATACTTCACAATACTTTATTTACATCTGTGCAGATGCACAAGGTCGAATACTAGTCCTAAGGTATTTAGGGGGTGTATTCAATTGAGATTTCTAAAGACTTATAGGCGGTTGTATTAAATTGAGATTCTTAGGACTTTATAAAGCTTTCTAATTTTGTGACTTTGGTGGACTTTGTAAAACGTTTATGACTTTGGTGGACTTTTTGAGAATAATGGACTTTTTATTATTATTTAGACATTTATATACTTGTAGTTATAACTATTATGTTTGCATAAAATGGCGTAGCATAATAATTAATATCAACAAGAATAAAAAAAAAAAGGTTTTGTATATTAATCCACTAAAAAATTATGAATCAGCCCATTGTTATGCAGAATGAATAAGAAAAAAAAAGAGGTTTGTATATTAATCCTCCAAAAAGTTATGAATCAACTCATTGTTATGCGAAATGAGTTATTCGTGGACACTTTGTTTAGGATTTTTGATATATTAAACGAGCAAACCAATCTGCATTTTCGCGAGTTTCAATGAGTCGAACTTGAGCAAAGTCTTATATTTGTTTGTTAAACGAGCACAAACTTAAATATGTGTCGCACATCTCTACTAAAATGATACTTATTATTAACCCAAAGCATTATATATTTATGTAATTATTGATTAATTGTACTTTTATATTTTTTTGCATCATGCTGCAATATTTAAATACTATTATTAGGATATATTTTAACAAGAAACACATACTGTCGAAAGATAGTAATTATATCTTCTAAAGTTATGAATAATACTCAAAATAATTCAATATTAACAAATAACTATTAGCAAATAAAAAAACTATTTTAATATTTGAAAGTAGACATTTAGAAACAAAACGAGAGAACAAATGAATTATTGGCAAGTGCAAACTATACATGCGTTTAACCTTTGAAAAGTCAGATTCACAATATAAAGCAAAAGGAGAGAATAAATGTATACACACATAAAATAATCATAATAAAATTAAATAAAATAAAAGACCACATTAAATATATCTAATGAAAATAAAAATTATACAAGCTATCAAAATAAATGAGTAAAATAACATAGTATGAAAGTGATATAGATATAAAGCCGTGTTACAAAAAGAAATAAAGTATGAAGAGAGCTGTTGATGGACGAATCCGTTCAACGGTTAAGATAAATTTTAATAAAGATTATGAAGAGAGAATGAGAAAGATATACTATTAAATTAGTTTTTTTTTTTTTTTTTTATAATTACGAGGTCAGCCTTTGATTATGAGGTCGACACTTTTCTTATACTTGGGAATAATTACGAAATTTATTACAGATTCTAGAGAGAGAAAGTAGTAGTTGATGATTTCAACAACTCAAAATAAATGAAATGAGTCTTCTATTTATAGTAGTCTTAAATTCAGTACTGTTCGCGTACTGTTCATCCTGTCTTGTTGCACAGTGATTCTACAGGGCAGGTCGCCGCCGCTCTGACAGTTATTAAATGCGATTTGAGGTTTCTTCAATCATTATCTGTCAGACATTTAATGCACACATGAGGGACGACAATCCTTTTTGTCGGGCTAGATACCATAAGGTGGTATACTAGGGTGACAAGTCCAATCGACAATCATCAGCTTCCAAGTGACAATATTATATCACTTTCGAACCCTGCGTTCGTGTGGGAGCCGACACCAAAGAATCTTCAGGTTGGACTTTCGACATTTATTGATCCTCCTGTTCTTGGGGGAACCTATTTCTCCGATCGGCGTCCGAGGAGGTCGACAGTACAATTAGTCGGTCAGGATGCCGACCTCGGAGATTGTATTAGTTGTCGCCCTGATTATCTTTTCTTGCCGGTCCAGCTTGGCATCTCGCATTTACTAGCTCACCTGTTTGAGTTGTGAGATCGTGTTCTCCCGGTACCTTGTCCGAAGAACCAGGAATCTTAGGCCAGCCCAACTAGGTATCAACAAAGTTACATAAGTTGAGCAAACTTTGATAAGGTTTCTGCTGTGACTTTTTTTTTTTTTTTTTTTTTGGTAACAAAAGTCTCTTAAAGCCTCACAATTTAAAAAGTTTCATAAAACCTTTCTACTCTAAATACCAGATGACTTACAGAGACTCTCATGAAATTCTAATTGAATACCTATTTAGAGACTTATACAAAACTAGTACAATGCCCGTTTATTACACATGTGCTTGCTACTTTTTTTTTCTTAAAATCTAAAATTAATGATAAAATGTAGTTGAAAATTTAAATACCTTTTATAAAAATATATATATTATTATATATTTAGTATGAAACTTTTTAATAGTGCGACTTATCTGTGTTATATTATAATAAATTTTTTAACTTACCACATATAACTACATTAAACATAAATATATCAATTGAGAAATAATTTTTTTTTCTAATGAATTTTCGTAAATATTATTATAATGATAAATATAATTTATTTATTTCATATATACAATATGGATGTCAAATCGAAGATCATCAAAAAGATGATTAATTTGATATATTATATATGTAAAACCGATAAGAAATACAAAAGTTATCAACTTTTAAAATACATTTATAATTCAATAGCTAATTGTAGGAAGCAAATCAAAAGTGAGAGATATATTAGTCACTTAGTGTCTCATTATGTCAAATTACAAAAAAAAATTAAAGGGTTATATTAGTAAAAGTGATATTAAAATACATAAGTTAGCTAAATAATATTTTGGAATGCCCTAACCTAGATTATTAATTATTATTATATCAATATTATTTGTCTCAACCTAATTACGAAGCATGATTCTTCGCCAAGTAGGATTTCGAAGCACCAAAAAAAGCCACGTAAGCTAAGCGTATTTGGCGCATTCGGGAATTATATATAGGGGGTCTGTAAAAGTCTCACTTGAATCATAAGAATAAGTAAGAGTCATCCATTTTTCGTTATTCAATTATTATACTAATCATACCATAATCCTCCCTATATATTATTCCCAAATACATTGAGCCTACGTGGCTGCTTCTGGTATTCCGGAATCCTACTTCGTAAAGAATCATGCTTCGTAATTAGGTTTGGAAAAATAATATTTATATATTAATAATTAATGATTTAGGTTTGGACATTTCATAAATATTATTTAGCTAACTTAGGTATTTTAATATCAATTGCACTAATATAACCCTTTATTTCTTTGTAATTTTACATAATGAGACACTAAGTGACTAATATATCCCTAACTTTTGATTTGTTTCCTTCAATTAGCTAGTGAATTATAAATGTATTTTAAAAGTTGATAACTTTTGTATTTATTATCGATTTTACATATATAATATATCAAATTCTTTTGATGATCTTCGATTTGACATCCATAATGTGTATATGAAATAAATAAATTATATTTATCTCTATAATGATAAAAAATAATAATATTTATTAAAATTCACTAGGAAAATAAAATTATTTCTCAATTGATATATTTATGTTTAATGTAATTGTAAGTTAAAAAAATTATTATAATATAACATAGGTAAGTTGCACAAATAAAAAATGTCATACTAAATATATAATAATATATACTCCATATTTTTTACAAAAAAATATTAAATTTTCAACTACTTTTCTCATTAATTTTAGATTTTACTAGTAATATAATTATATCTCAATGTCTAAATTGGCCGCCACTATTTAAAAGCCTCCTTCAGTATTTTTCAAGTAAGAAAAAGGTAAAGGTTAAAAGGAGCAACAGAATTTCGTAAAACCCTAAACCCCTGATTATTTTTTCCGACGCGGAGAATCTCACTGCGCCGCCGGAGTACTGACGCCGGCTATAATTTCGTTTCTTGATTTCTTTCCTCTGTTCGGTAACGAGAATTAGGGTTGGTTCTACTGATCAATTCACGGTTAGTTATGATTTTTTCCTCGTTTGAAATTTATGTTTTGCTGTGTGATGTTTTACGTTTCGCCATTGGAAAAAAAATTCTTCGTCCGGCGGCCCATGAAGTTTAATTTCACTCTTATTTTTTGGAAATTGTCCTTGTTTTTGATGTAAATTGATGTATACACTGTATGCCATCTTTGTGAATGTTTGCAGTGTTAAAATCATGCCCTTGTGTTTGTATCTCCTGAAAAGGGTGATCATGCGGTCTCATACTGGAAGTTGATTGCTTTATTCAGACTGAAACTTCATGTCACTGTGTGTGTGTTTCTGGAACTGGGGCATGTATAGTCGGTATAACTATTATATTCTTATCAACTGAACATATACTTTTGGATGAAGTACAATCGCGTTCCTTGAATCTATATCAGATCTTTCATATATCCAGTTGTCCTAGAAGAATTACATATAGCAACATTAGCAGATGCATAATTTTGGATTTGGAGTTAGTCAAGGCATATTTTCTTTCACCACCCTTTGGAGATTAATTTGGGATTTTCATTGAAATATATGCTTAGGATATTTTGAAAATTTATTATTACATAGCAGATAGCTTCTTTGCTTCCATTATTCTAGAACCATGTTTCAGTTTGGTGGTGCTTTTTTGAGTGATAATTTTGTTCAAAGATGGATTTGGTGAAGTATCTTCGATTTCCAAAAGAGTCCTAATCCAGAAGTGTTGTTGGACTCAACTTTTTGTCTGTTGGATGTATTTCATCTACATTTTTTCATTCACATCTTTGTTGTTGTTGTTGAGACTTAACATGGATTGTTAAAATTCATCTGGGAGTCACAACTGTAAATTGTTTGGCACTTTACCAATTCATAGTTTTGCGGTGTACATTGCTATTAAATACCCTCTTATGAGGTTAATATTGTAGTACACAAACAGAAGAAGAGAGGGAGAGAAACAAATTTAAGCCATTTGGAAAGATAATTGATTTTCTCTGTGAATTGAGTACGCTTTTATGGCACTTTTGGTATTGTAGCGTTGAAAAAATTAATGCATCCTTGACCATGTGTTTGCTTATGCTCTGTTTTTGTTTTTCATCACAGCATTGATGGAAATATCTATTACTGACGCCGCCTATCCTGGCTCAGATGCCCAGCCCAAGAACAGCAAACGCAGGCGGAAAAAGTCCATGGTCTGGGACCACTTCACAATCGAGACTGTAAACCCCAACTGCACCAGGGCATCCTGCAATCAGTGCAAGAGATCGTTCGCCTACATATCTGGCACAAAGTTAGCAGGCACCAGTCACCTAAAGCGGCACATCGCATCGGGAATATGCCCTGTTGTCCGGCACAGTAAGGAGAAAGACGAACTGAGTCCAGAATCGCAGACTCCAAGAACCAATATATCTGCAAATGGGTCCAACTTACAAAGAAAACGGTATAGGGCTGGCAATGGAGTAGCCAGAATCCAATTGAATGGCCATAGCAGCAGTTATAATGTTATTAACAGTACTAGTAAAATCAATGCTAGTAATTTCAGCCATGAACTTGCGAAATTAATAATTCAGCACGACTATCCGCTCTGCATGGCCGAGCACTCTGGATTTATTGATTTCGCTCGGAGCCTTCAGCCTCAGTTAAATATTAACAGTTTGGGCTCAGTGCAAGAGCAAATCATAGCAATTTACAACAGAGGAAAGCAGAAGGTTGTGGATCTTCTCACAGGAATACCTGGACGGGTTAACTTGATGTTGCATCTGTGGACTTCAACTCAAGGCCTGGACTACTTTCTCCTAACGGGTCAGTTCACCGATTACGACTGGAAATTGCAAAGAAGGGTATTGAATTTTTCAGCTGTAAATTTCCCCAATTCCGAGATGGCTTTTAATGGCGCTGTGACTTGTATAAATGAGTGGAGCTTGGAAGGCAAGGTTTTTACTGTCAACCTCAACTCTGGTTGTCCGAATGAAAATGCCAGGGAGAATCTCAGAAATGTACTCTCTATTAAGAACCCCGTTATTCTAAAGGGCCAGCTTTTAATCAAGAGTTGCTATGCATGTGTGTTGAGGAGCCTTGCGATGGATGCAATAGGGTCCGTGAAGGAGGCTGTAGAGAAAGTACGCAAGTGCGTGAAGTATATCAAAACTTCGGGGGCCAACGAGGAGAAATTTAACAAACTAAAACAGCTCCTCCAAGTCCCGAGCACAAGGGACCTAATGATGGATGACGTGCACAAATGGGACACCACCTTCCAAATGCTGACGGCCGCCTGTGAAGTTAAACAGGTGTTCTCCTGTTTGGATACTTCTGGTTTGGAGTACAAGTCTACCCCATCCATGGAAGAATGGAGGTTGGTCGAGATACTGTGCACGTTCTTGAAAATATTTCAAGAGTCTGCCCGTAAATTAACCTCGCCCTTGTACCTGCCGGCCAATATGTTTTTCCGTGAAGCCAGCGATATATATCTTGAGCTGATGCATGCCGCTTGGAGCCAGGACCCGTTTATTAGCACACTGATTAAGCCGTTGCACGAGAAATTCACTAAATATTGGGAGGAAAATTTCTTGGTCTTGGCAACTGCTGCTGTGCTGGACCCGAGGATTAAAGTGGAGCTTGTGGAGTCGAAACTTTTGTGCATGTACGGTCAGGATGTCAGGAATTGGGCTTCAACTGTTGGTGAGAGCTTGCATCAGCTTTATGTCGAGTATGAAGCCGATAATCTCGTTAAGTCAGAGGTGGTTGAACCACATGAGGATATTCTTCTAACTGAAGGTGATGATTTATTGAATTTTGATGTGGATATTTCTGATTTCATGGAGGATCCAGATATAAAGTCGGAACTAGACGAGGGATGTGTAGAGGAGCACGTTTTTCATGAAAACAACATGAAGTCGGGATTAGAAAGGCATCTGGAGGAAAACGTTTTTCAGGAATCGCCCATGAGTCTTGAGTTGGATCGGTATCTGCAGGAGCCCTTGGAGCCGTATGATCAGGAGATTGATGTGTTGGGCTGGTGGAGGATGTGCAGGTCGAGATATCCGATTTTGTCAAGGATAGCTTGTGATGTTTTGTCTGTTCCTTTTATTGCCATTCCTCCAGAAAATGTGTTTGACGATAGAGAGAAAAGGTTGGAACAGTATGGAAGTTCGTTGTGTCCCAGGACATTGCAAGCTGTCGTATGTGCTAAGGATTGGGTTGAACTGTGATTCTGCAGAATCTTGACATGGTTTTTCATCAGGGATTGTTACGCTGTAGCTGAGGAAATTGACTTCCTTCGATTTTTTAATTCTTTTTCGTTTTATTCCACATACATTTTTGTAGATGTTGCATATCTCGTTTGAGTAGGAATAGAATAGAATGTCAACATTCTTTACTTTGTTAGTTACAGTTTTTAAAAAGAATGTTTTATCTTCCCTGGTGAGAGGGATATTGAGTGAAACTGCCCTCCCTACCTCTCCTTTGATACCAATAACTAACTTCAATTGAGGGAAACGTTCTGTCAATATTCCAGTTCATCCACTTTTCACTTTTGGTGTCCTATTAATTTTACTTAATAAATTTTGATATCCATTGTTTTGTATATTATCAATTTTGTCTAAAATGTTATAAAATTGTTAAAAAAAACAAGTAACTAACACGGTCGGGATTGTTAAGCTCACTGTGACCTTTAAATTTGTCGAAAAAGTAGAAAAAAGCCTGAAAAAATGATCAGAAAATCGTAGAAATTGGTAATCAAATTAACATCAAATATGAACTCAAAACATAATATTAGTAAAAGGTTAGTGTAGCTCATGAAATGAAAAACAACATAAGAGTTCATACATCATCTTTTGACAATCTCGTTGACAGTCGTCGATTGAACTATGCATGTTGCATCGCTCACAGTAAATCTAGCAACTTCCTTAGTTTATATATGACAATTGGAAGTTTCAACTGGTGATCAAGAGTCTTTTAAATTCTTCAATTAAATAGTTTTCGAAACATATATGTTTCATGAAAATTCAATGATTGGATTTTCAATAGCAATATGGCAAACTTTAAGGCATATTGTATATTATTAGAAATTTTAACAATAATTTGATGAATTTTGGGTAATTGTATGATGAAATAAAATGTGTCGTTGGAAAGATTGAGTCGATGTTTTCAAATGATATATGATTTTGATGAAATCCACTGTCAAATAGCTAGCGACTAGCCGACTAAAGATACAATGGTCGGCGAAGAAGGTAATGTTAATTATTTATCTTTATTTTATTGTAATATACTAATCCTTTTATTATTAATTTAGAATACCGTATTTAATTAAAATTTTAATTACGTAAGTAATTTAATATTAGCTCTGTCGGGTTTTAATGGAAAAAGTAGCACTTTGAATGAAAATTGACTAACAGACCATACACTATGTTAGAAATCGATTAATTTAAGTATATATATGAGATACCAAATATGAAAAGTGAGTAAAAGTTATGTACTAAATAGATCTTTTTTTTTTTTTGAATATATTGTGGTTATTAACTATTTTTCTAAAAACCTAGATTTTACAGAGAGGTCAAATAAGGCTTCGTATTTTGAAATGTGGTAATAGGTGCAACTTTTTTTTTTTTCGAACGTCAATTATATGAATAACTTAAACCTCAAAAGAGTACAACCGAAGTGTCAAGTGACACACCAGAAGACTGGACCAATCGTCATTGTCGACACACACAAGAGGGTACAAACTCTATCAAAGGAGGAAAACAACCACAAAACAAAACTCCATATAAAAGAGAAAAACAGACACAGCTCCACTAAAAGCAGACACAACTGCACTAAAAGAGACAAAACAACAAAATAAAAATAAAAAGCAACATACACCTAATAAACAACAAGATAGAGTAAAACCTCCCCTAAACCTAATAGCTGAAACCCAAAACCACTTGAACCATCTACCCAAGTCACACCCCAACAAAGAAAACCAACTGAGCACCAAAACTAGGCTCCAAACCCGAAAACTGCGGCCACTCTACCGCCTAGACGAAGTTTCGGCCCATATCTGAGCCCCGAATACCTTCACAGTGGGGGAAAAGAAGGAGATCCATCACGAACCCATCGGAGGAATAGAAGGGAGAGATCGAGGAGATGACAACCTGCAACCGAGCCACCCAACTCGAAGGACCTGCAACCCGGCTGAACAGGGGCGCACGGGACCGCGAGTTGGGCTCGCCCAAGCCAAAGTCACTCTCCAGGAAGAACATGGCCGCATAGATCGAGCCTCCAAACGGACCGACAAACTCCTGTAACTGGCCTTGCAAGAGTAGTCGACGACCTCGCCGAAGGCGGGGGATAAACCGAAGAGCGAAAATTGCCACTGGCCAACCACCCGTAGCACTCCTAGAGGCGGAAATGAAGCACCCAGTCGAGACTTGGCCAGAACGGCCCGGTGACCACAGGAGTCGCGCCGCCGGAAAAGGGGGGGCTGCGTTGGGGATAGGGTTTTATTTTTTTCGCGGCGGAGAAAAGGGGAAATTAGGGATTTTGTAAATTAAGTCATTGTAATAAGGACTTACGTATTATGTGAAACGTATATGGTCATGAACGGATTTATACATAGGCGAGCTAATATAGGTTATTATACTTGTTAATAGAATTTTCTAGGTGAAAGATGGCAAAAAAAAAAAAAAAAAAAA